ACAAAATGTTTCACAAATATTCACATTATAAAGTATTGAGTGAGTGGATTGTAAAGAAATGATCACATAATGTAAGTTGCACAATTATAGAAAAAATAACAAAAATTATCAATAAAGCGTTGATGCAAAACGCTCTTTGGTGCGTTTGATAGAGAATTTGTATGTTATGTTCAATATCCTTTGTTCAATTATCTTATAATTTTTCAGTTAGTTTGTTCTTGATTCCTTAAACAGGTATTGAAAGTCTATGTTTGACAGCTCGTCCTATAATTTACAACCCAATTTTCATTATTTGCAATCATGTTTTCATAACACTCTTTCAAAATACAATTGTTCGTAGTTTTAATTTTTAACCAGTATTTAAAAAAAATCAATTTCCTCATAATGTGTAAGGGGGGGGGGGGGGATCCAGCCTTTCACAATACACTACGTTATTATTAGTTCTTTTAAATACTCCTAATATTTATTTTTTTTAAAGAAAGTAAGATTTACCTTTTCAATGACCGGTGCTCTATGAAAACACCAGATTTCACTTGCATACGAAATATTACTGTTTACATTTGTATCAAACACAGAACACCTTGTTTCAATATTAAACAACTAAAATTGATGCAAAGCATCAAATCGGCCGCAAACAAAATTTGGCATTTCAAAAAGTACTTTCACATTTTATTTGTATTTGTATTTTAAAAGCATCCATGCAAGGAAAGCACAAGATATTCAAAGCTGAAAGAGTGATCGTTTTTATTTCAGACTGTCTTCAAAGCAAAATAAATAGGCCTAAATAGTTAAAAAAAAAAAATAAAATGAATAAAAATTCTAGTGCATTTGCTCATCAAATTGATTCATCGACTTAATTAAGTGAACGATAAATGATAAGAATTTATTGTCATCAAAATTAAGATGTTGGTTTATTTTCATATGAAAATTTAGATCTCAAGATGAACCACGTGCTGATACCCTGGATCTTTGTCACGTGATTATGCCCATGATTTCTGCAGAGTAAGCTATGCTGCACGGCGTGGTGCAAAATGTAGAAAAATTATCTTTGTGTCATTCGCAGCTGTAGCATATTCAAAACAATTTTTACTAGTTGAACATTTTTTCAATTTTAATCACCATACACTTTTATCACTTTATTATTATCTGGAAAATCATAACGATTTGCTTTCATATCTTACTCACTCCCAGGTTGGGGAGTACCTATTGTAAACTTTTTTTTATTTAATCATAAATTTTTAATTTTCTGATGAGAAATGATAATGAAATTGAAACATAATAACAACAATTAAGACTTAGTTTAAAGCATGTTTTTAAAATATTTTACTCATGATTTTATATGTATTATCATTTAAGAATTGTTTTACTGAACTACTAAAGAAATAATGTCTCATTTCCCCCATGTGCACTTTCTAACACAACCACAAATAGATCAGCCGCTGCAGCGGTATTAAATTAAGCAGAAAGGGCCGTCTGCACTTGTTCTGCAACATGTTTCTGAGTTTGAAAAAAAATCCATTATAATTAAACAACATTCCTAAATACTTAAATATATTTACAACTTCAAGATATTGGTCATTGAATAACCATTACTCATTACATGTAATATTTCCACTATTTCTAAAAAGAACAACCTTAGTTTAGACACATTTACATATAAATCCAATTCTTAAGAGTAATCATTCAATGCGTTCAAAATGCTCTGTAAATATTCACTTAAAACATAGTACATGTACATGTGTATAGTTTTGCCATTGTTTTATATGTCGTGTCCTGCTTATTTGCATTCATATACGCATTATAATGAGTATTTATTTTAATTATCAGAACTCGTAATTAATGTTCTTTTTATCATCAATGAAGTATGTGGAGATAACAAACAGTATTCGAGCTCAAAAGTCCCTTAAACATTACAAAATAGGAGTTTCTTAAACAGAGAAATATTTGTATGTCTCCACTTATTTTGTGCTTTAATTTTTAAAACTTCTTTCCTAAAATCGCTGAATGAGATTTGTTTTATTTTAAATTATCGAATGACTGAAGTACACATAATAAAGTTTTCACCATCAATTCATATCAGTTGTGTTTATGCATTTAATGCGAGTAATTATGTCAATGTTTTCACTTTGATATCGTCTTTCTGTGAATTCTGTGAATTGGCTGATATATTCGATGCCATGTTAAATGCAGTTAGATACACACGTGCGCGCTGATAATCGTTTACGCAATAGCCTAGATGACTACATGTATTCTGTAGACCCACCAACCACCCAAGCGATCCTGTCTATCAGGCGTTTTAATTGCGCCAAACACCATCTAAGCGTACATGTACATATGAAATAAGAATAAAAAAGTTGAAATTTAAAGTTCTATTCCTTATTTAATCAAAAGAAACATCTACTATCTTTGTTGTTGAAATTATGTGAATATAATAATTATCAATGATGTGCCAGAATACCTCCTTTAAACATAATAAAACCAGAATGATCGAACCTGAAAATTCCGCATTTCTTTTCTCTTTCGATCTCTCGAACGCTTCTATCTCTCGAACTTTTTATAAGGTCCCTTTAACTTTGAGAGATCGAGAATCACCTGTAGAGTTACTTGATGACAAGCTCTTTGATTTCTCAGAACTAAATAGTTTGACGTTCGAAATCCACTTTGATCGACGGTCAAGATGGCTAAATTATGTAAAACACTTTTTATTTGCGTGAGAGAAATATCTGCGGGTTTCCCGATTTACATTAAATCGCAAAAGGGGGGTTTGGATAAGACCGCTTAGCGGCCCACTTTTTTCATAAAAATAAATTTCAATCTATTTTTTCAAAATAAGTTTAGAATTCAAGATAAATATGTTAACTTTTGTTATTTATATTTTAATAGTTAATATGAGGTGAATTTACACCGTATCTGACACATTCTTAGGTGTACCCTCAGATGCGTTAACATTAGGTGTATGGGAAAATATAGGAGAATGGCATATATAAATCGATATTTAGAATATGAAGTGCATGAAGGACACTCATCTAGATTTGTTCAGTAATTAGATATACTATGCACACTTACATCTTGAAATATGATGAGTGTCGCGTGTGCACTTCATATAAAAAAATTGAAAATTGCATCTAAAATTAGAAGCTCCTGACTGTCTGTATTAAAATACTAACCCAAAAGTAGCATTTTTTTTTTAATCAAAGAAGATTCTCGATAATATTAACAATAGTATATATTATCGTATCCTATCTTCATTTCGATATTTTTTTTCGTCGCCAACATATAAAATTAAACGTCAAATTTTTAACTCACCTCTACAAAGATGGGGGAGCTTTTGAAAAACCGTCGGCATCGGTGTTCCAGGTAAAAGTTTTTGAAGCAGATTTTTTTTTCAAGTATATCTATGTCTATATAAATCAGAGTCACCTGATCTAGTGTGTTTTCTTGTCACCGATCAGGTTTCAGATGCTGCATTTTCAGCTAAAGAATGTCCAGGCAAGGCCAAAAAAGAAAAGTCTTGTTTCCTGCTACCAGCATGAAAAAAAAAATAGGGTAGGTAGGTAGGAAAATTATTTTATTTCATGTTTTTTTTTTTTTTTTTTTCCAACGGTATTTTTTATATGAACTAATACAAAACCCAATTAAACATGTCATAGGTCAATATTATCTTTTAAAATTAAATTTCATGTCTTTTGATGCACAAATCAAGTGGTATTTTACGAAAGTCCATATTTAAAACATACGATTTCATGAAATACCACTTGAATATATATATTTTTTTCAGTTTTGAAACATGAAATTTCTGATTTTTCTTTCCAAAACTAAAACAAAAACTTTAGGGTCGGGTGCAAAAAAAACAGGATCGGTCGGGTAGCAGGAAACAAGACTATTTTTTTTTTTGGGGGGGGGGGGGGCAAATGTTTTTAAAGCAGGTTTAAATTTTTGGAGCAGCTGTATGCATTCGTTGACAAGACTTGCTTCATGATGCGTCTTCGGATGTACACTACCAGACTTGCTTCAGATGCTGGATCTGACCTACATTTTCTTAATGAGTGAGCAGGTTAAAGATTTTCAAGCGGTGTCATTCTTATATAACTGTAAGCCCTATCGTGACCAAACTTTCACTGATGATGCATTTAGGATTGCTCACTACCAGACATGGTTCAGATGCTGGATCTATCTTACATTTCCAACTGGCTGAACAAAAATGTTTTAATGAAAGTCCATTCCTAAACGTTATTTATCATGCATAGTTATTTCAGACTTTTTTGTAAATAGAAATCCACCCTCCAACATCCTAGGGAAGCGCTCAGTTATCTCCGTCTGGTTGATATAGGGAACGTGGATTGTTTTATTTCTGGATTTCTGCAGGATAAAGAATTAAAGACATAACTTTGGCGTTTACACATGTATTTCGAACTGCGACTATGGTTTAGCAAATTATATACTGTACAGCAGGAAATTAACTCGCGGAGATAATATTCGCTATATTCGCGGAAATAAAAATTCCGCGAATTCAACATACAATGAATAATTCTTCAAAAATTGATAAGGATAAATTGAAATATTACCGATATTTGTGATTAGATTCGGTAACTCTATTTACGTTTCCTTGTAAACATAAAAAGCAGTAATTAATATAGCAGAGATGTAGACTGTCTTCCTTATTATGAGGGTGTACGCATCAATCACTAACAAGCAGTTGTTGTTTTTAAAAGCTTAATTGATAAATAAACATCTAAAACTAACATTTAAGGAGGATCTCTATACCTTTGAAGTATAACTGATTTTTGTTGCATTCATTTGTTTCTAATAATAGACTCAATATCCGATTAAATAAGGTTCCAAAGTATTTCACTTTATTTTTTAGAAATATTTATTATATTATATTTTATTTATTTTGTTTAAACCCCTCCTTTCTATATTTTTAAAAGCTCAGTGCTTTAAATTTCTCTTCAAAGTTTAATGTTATAAAATATTGAAATAATAACCAACAAAGTTAGAAATAAAATCTACATAATTTTTATTTAAATTTACAAAAATAGACAAAAGAAAAATTAAAACAGCATTTTCTTGAGAATAGCTGGTGGGATCTTCTCAAATATCTAAAAAGATATATAATATCAAAGGGTAAAAACAATGAAAAAAAGAAATTGAACAAAATTGAAAAACTGTCAAAAATTTCAAACATCACAAAAATTCAGGTTTGAAAGATCCGCTTCAAGAGTGGGCTCAAATATCTTGGTAATGTTTTTCTATATACTTCAAATAAACTCGACTAAAACTTGCACAAGTATTGAAAAAAGATGTCAAGCAAAGCCAATGAAAGAAGTTCGTATTGTATTGTTTTTCAAATGAGTTTAAGCGAAAACCATCACGTTTCCAGTCAATGACAAAGACATGTATTTCGTGAATTCATGGTATTGAGAAAGGTAGATTTACTTACTATTTTTATCCAACTTGCATGTGTTATCCAGTGCTAGATATAACATAACATGTAAACATGGTAAATGGCCAAAAGCACGTAAAAGAAATTCCTGTAACCAAATTCACATTTCGTTTAAAAGCTGCACGTTTCCCATACAGCTGATAATCAATGTTGATCAAACGTTTGAGTCAAGCAAAATTCCACTTACTGTCGAAACGTTTTGGTGATTTCATGAAGAGTTTAAATTTCACCGGGAATAACCACACATTCGGGTGTATACAAATCGTGAACAAGTTTCCACTAGTCGATGGAAAGATGATACATATGCCTTATCTTATCAAATTTGCATTTTTAGGGGATATATTTTGCTGGAGTTTTTTTGAAGGAAAAAGGAATTTCGGAGTGTATGGCGTTTTGACACGTAATGATGAATTAGCATATGGACAAGTCATGTTTTATTTCATTTTTTCTTACCTAAAGTCATATTTTTTTCTGATAAGTTTGTAAATATATATATATATTTTTTAATTAAATAAGTAGAAATTGAATAAATTGACAAACAATTCATTTTTAAAGAAAAGATACGTATTGGGCACTACGCTGTATTAATTTAGGTGATACAATGTACATTCCATCCACAATATCGAATGTTGTGTTATACTCGGTGATTTATCGGTGTTAAGTGAAATTGAATCAGATCATTTGGGATCAAAATGGCGTTTCAACGGAAGTACGCCATGTTGTGACGTTGTAGAGAGCCCCCTTAATTCTGCCATCCAGTAGAGGTGCCATGCAATTATCTATAAAACATGTATTGTTAGAATTCACCCGTGCATATCACTCAGTCTTATTATCTTTAATGAAGGCACTTACGTAGTAAGGACAACACTGTTACACATTAATTCAATTTTATTAACAGTTCAACATTTTGACTATCGGTACTGACAACTGATTTAGATTCAGAGGGATTAAAAAGACCTGCAGTAAATACTACTAAGTACTCTACTCAAAACATACCTATTCATGAACGAACACCTGCCAAAGGGCTTCTTCTTTTATATATATATATATATATATATATATATATATATATATATATATATATATATATATATATATATATATATATATATATATATATATATATATATATATATATATATATATATATATATATATATATATATATACATGTTTGCCATTGTTTGGGATACGACTGGAAATCACTTAAATAAAACACTCGCGTATAGTTTCATATGTATTTCAAAAATATTTAACAAAAAGAAAGAAAGAAAACAAGAGAAAGAAAGAAGAAAAGAGCTAGGGGCTCCAAGGGCAAAAATCGGCCCCATATCAGAAATTAATTATATTTTTCTTATTATATGCTGTGGATGTCTATTTTTCAAAAACAACATAAAATTGTTCGAGGTGGTTAATTTTTGGAGAAAATTAAACCATAAACTAAAGACCGTTAAAAGTCAGTAGCGTTAAAAAAAAAAAAATAGCTTCATTACGTAACATGCACACAATTAACTTCATTAATGCTCATTGAGTTACATAAGATTTACGCAAATAGGAATGCATTTAGAAATAATATTTGGACAAAGTTCAAATAATGGCAGTAAAGATTATTAAAAAAGAAGCACATGAGAGGTAACAAAGATATGCAGGTGAACTGAAAATGAGTGCCGAAAAGTAACATCATAACGACGTAGGTAACATTCTTGTTGTGCCGCGATCGACAAAAACCTAACGTTTTGTTTATCTTAATGTATTTTAAAAGTATTTTATATAATCGAACGAAATTTTGAGGCAAAAATTAAAATAGACGGGTATAATTATGTCAAATTTTGATGATAACAATTGATTATTAAAGATTTTATACCAGTCGTGACATTACTTTTGGATCAACCCCAGAACATATATACAGTGTATAACGTATTGTTATATCCCTTTATAATAGTTCCTATATACATTGTAACTCTATACGAAGAAAGTCCAGCATTTTGACTGTTCCGGCGACTTTCGGACTGGGACCATTAAAGTCGACTATTAAAAAAACTATGGACCGACATGACGTCATATGGCGCTAAACGGGTTATTATTTACATCATTTGGTTTTAAAAACAAAAACACGATGTACGCCTCGCAGCTTTATAGGAAGAGGAAATTCAGGCCATTTAAGAAAGCAGAGACAATAAAAAATATTACATATGTTGTGAAAACTGAATAAAACATTCTCAGTGCATGATTGTTTACTGACCTGTATTGGTCTATTTCTCTTCTGTGAAAAAAATCATGCGGTGAGTTGATTGAAATGCGCCGAAAATTCTTTTGTGCAGCTCGAAAAAGATATGTATAGAAATATGTACGTTTAAAAATCTATGATTTTCATACGATATTTGACAACCGATGGAAATTATTCGAAAAATCAATGACATAAAACAGTAAATGGTGCACAGTTGTATTAAAACATCAAATATGACTTTTTCTTTGCTCCGATCAGTGGCATAGCTACTATTAATGCTTGTGTGCCAAACTCCACATAAAGACTATAAATGACTCATCGTTCCAAAATAATTTGTATCACAATCTTGTAATATAAGAAAATAATGTTCGTTTATAAAGAAAATCAATTAACTGTGCTCCCCGGCCTAGAATTCCAATACGTCACATTTATAGCAACACACTAAATTTTGCATTTTATTTTTCACGCCTGCCATATTTACCTATCATTTTGTATTAATCACTGATATGTTCTTAATTCTAATCCCACATCCCATAATTGTAGAATGGTGAAGAGATTCAAATACATGTAAATGAATGAAAAGGACAAGACCGGATTTCTAATAAATTTTCTTTTAAAAAATGTTCAGTATTGCTCCCTTTAAAAAATGTATTGAATCAAATACCTTAAAATTTATGTGTACTTTTAACACATTTTCTGTCCATCTTTATTGAAACAAAAAAGAAAGAAAATCAAATAAATATGTAGTACATTACCGAATATATTTTATTTTGTTGTTTCCGTATTTTTTCACTCTTATAATACCACCGGTATGATATATCCGAATAATATTAGTTATAAACAAAACAGAATGACATGTTGATCCTTAAAATAAAAAAGACTTCCGAATGAATCCGACACGTTTCTCACACGATTCTTGCACGAAAGTCGCACGTTTCTCACACGGTTCTTACACGAAAGTTGCACGTTTCTCACACGCTTCTCGCACGCTCGCTACACGGTTTGCACGAAACGCTTTGGAGCTTACACGAAACGCTGCACGGTTTACACGAAACGCTACACGGTTTGCACGAAACGCTGCACGGTTTACACGAAACGCTACACGGTTTGCACGAAACGAAAAGCGCACGAAAGTCACACGCTTTTTTATGGTAGTAGCACGTTACAGGGTCTGTATGTTTTTTTTTAAATAAATACAAAATGACATGTATTTGATAAAAGAACGTATTTCAATAAATTCAAAAATAATTTGTTTTTTTTATCTTCACACTGGCACATCTATAACTCGATCTAACACTCCTTAATATTGTAATATTGTCAATTTGTGCGGAACTTCCATGGGATCCGCTCCCTGGACCCGGTAAAAGGGGATTATTGCTGCCCCAGACCTCCTGTGGTTATAAAAGCATCCACTTTATATTTGGTTAGATACACCACTGGTCAATGGTACTGATATAAAATATCCTGATTTAATACTGTATACAATATTGATTTACAGTTTTTAATATATGGGTAAAACAAAAAAGTTGTTGACAGGAGTCTCGGGCAACAGTTGATTTGTCGGATCGGTGTGCAAACTGTTGCAGTTTGCAATACCGGTCCGACAGATCAAATGTTGCCCTCAGCCCCAGTCAACAATTGTTTACTGTACAACAGGGGAAAAAAAAAACTGTTATTTTACGGTTACGTTTTGTCCCCTCAATAATGTTTGGCAACAATTTTTGCCTGTCAAGGTTTTTTTTTTGTTTGTTTGTTTTTTTTTTTTAAGTTGCCCCCCTTCTAACTAAAATTGCGAATAATATAGAATGAAAAGTATTTTTACCATGTAAAATTAACAAAAAAGTCATATTTGTTATCTTATTTGAGTTGATCAGTACCTTGGATTGAACCCCACGGGCCCCCCTTCCCTCTGTGGTAGAAACAACAGAGGCTTTCTTTGTTTTGTCAAAAAAGTAAAATCTTATGAAAGTTCATTTCAATTGTTTCTAAATATTAAAGGAAATCATTCAAAATAGATCAGGAGGTAGGCGGTGAAACATTATTATCGTTCGCAGTTTTATCTTGCTTCGATCACGCCCCACCCGGAACTGAAACTCGTGTTACAATTTTTTAAAAACATTTTAGTAAGGACTATATAAACACTGTCAGCTTATCTCCTTGAAGTCATAATATATTTCAATATATGATTTACCTAGCCATAAAGATATGATCTACCTAGCCCTAATAAAAATATACTAAAATATTTGGCCACTTAGCCAGGACCTTGGAATCTACCTCTTCCCTATTCCAAGCTTTCTAATCAACTATATTTTCTTATCCGGAGCGGATTCATATAAATCCATATAAACATGTGGAGCGGAGCGGATCAGAAAACCCTGACTTGGATAAAAGGTTTATGTGGATTGGAGCGAATAAGAAACCCTTGACTTAGGAAGACTATAGCATCCAGGGAACATGAAATTCAAAGTTTTTATAAGGGGTTAGCTGCTTCAGTACATATAATATTATCATGCAAACAATTTTCTGCTAGATGTCCATGAGTAAATGACGGGGACTTTCAAAGGCTCTTTCCATAAGACAAACTTAGCACACCCTCAGTCCTGAATCTTTAGCCAGGGGCCGTGAATTTGACAATTTTGGTAGATGGTTAGATGTTTTTTCAAACTCATGAAAATATGTTACCTACTAAAATCCATGAATAGAGAAGATTTTCACAGACATGACCATCTAAGTTAGATGTGAATATGTGAACTACTGAAAATAAAAGGAATATTTAAATGAGAATGTTTCTGTATGTTTTCAACAAATTACAGCACTGTATACGAAACGTATATAGTATTGCAGGCCCGTAGTACGCGGGTTGGGAGCAATTTTTCTAGAGTTGTATTTTTGTACATGTATTAAGGTGACGGTAATTTATTCAGGAGGGGAAAGGGAGGCTAAGAAGGGGTGAGGCGAGCATTTTTTTTTGAGTGAGTTATATTTATGTTCATGCCCAGAATACATATTTCCAAGATGACCAATGACAGATTATTTATTTCCTCCTTCCACAGAAAGGAAAAAAAAAACAATTTCTTTTGGGTTGTTGGATTAATTTCAATTTTCTTCCAAGTGTGGATGATTATTTATTACCTAATAAGGCCAGCAGCCACCGTAAGAATCATATAGTCATGCTGTAATTAATATAGTGTGAAAATTTACATTCAAAGCCCCCCCCCCCCCCCCCCCCCCGACACACACACACACCCTCA